CACTGAGTCTCAGAGCAAGTGCAGAAAAAGCACAGCGTCTGCATCCTATCTCATACCAGACAAAGTGCTTCGCACGGTCAGAGGCCTTCGATATCTTCATCTCCATAAAATCCCCTTTGGTTCAAGTCGAGGTTGCACACTTTGGCAGCGGAATACAAAATGGCATCCAGTAGAACTACTTCCATCAGGTCTTGGCATTCTTCTGCGCTCTACCCTTCTTGGCGATTCAGCCGTGGCCTGCGCTGTAGAGATATGCAGACTTGAGATATGCTTTTGCTTAGTGTTGAGAATAGAGGAATCTATCTAAAAAGTTCCCCCCACCATGTTCATAGCAGAGTTATTTGTTTTGGCCAAGTCTCTCAAAGAAAAGGAGGATTTTCTTAAGACTATTAACACAAAGAAGTTGGCGTACGCAGAACTACTGTCGAGTATTTAGATGCAAACTTTTGGATTATAACCTTTTCTGTCAGACAAATCAATTAAAATACTTAAATCACTATTGCTTTTGTGGATTTGCTGTTTATTTAATCCCTCATTTCCTTCAGTAAGGTGAGGACTTTTCTTTTCAAATCCCCTAAAGGAAAAATACAAACACTGCTTCACCCACCTCCTGAAAGATATAACATTCAGTCATATCTTTTGATGCTGCATGTCTGGGAAAAGATTGAAGGAAACGTAGAGAAGGGGGCCTTTCCGCATTATCTGATGAGCTTTCCACATTCCCCTTAAGACGAAAAAAGGGCTAATGTTTAAAATGAGGTCATCCATATAACGTCTTTCTCTGGCGTCCAGTGTTTTTTTTTAACTTTGCCTGTAGAGTTGCTGCTTGTCTGAGCGCTGATAAAAATCCGGATATAAAACCTGACATTGAAGATGAATGTGTCCCACAGCCACTCTTGCCTATCAGTCACGAACACAGACGAGGACATGGGCCTGGGAAACATGTCAAGGAGCTATCTCTGCCGCTGCTTCCCCTCGTCTCTCCTGCCCTCTTCTCTCACAGGCAGAATTAAAGTTGGAAAGGTTTGCGGCGAGGATAAAAGAGAAGGGTGACTGGCAGAGATGAGAAAGAATGCTAATTTATTTATTTATCTACTTATTTTTGTAGGAAAGCAGTATAAGTCATCGCTTCAAGCACGCTTATGGATTTTATAACAGGTATGTTCAGAGACACACTGAGCTTGGGGGGGGGCATTTGGATGGATGACCCACTGTATAGTCACCAAGCTGAAAGGCCTAAAGGTACAAAAAGCCATTCTGGAAATATGAGTCTTGCCCTCAGCTGGAAATCATTATCATGAAATGGGTCAGAGCTAGATTTCAATTTCAAAGAGAGCTACATGCAGGAAGGCATCAGTGACAATGTTGTACACAACATGCACTTTAAAAAACTCTCAGTCAATCAAAACAAAAATTCAGGAAACATGTTCAATGGCAGCAGAACTGAGACTCCAGCCCACAGCCACTCCAGTCACTCCCGTCCTTTTACAGTCTGGAAATAAGTAAAACAACTCAGAAAGTGAGAAAGCCCTGAAAGACAGGTGAATCTTTTTTTTTTTAAATTTTGCCAGAAGTTTTTGTTTAATCTGTGAATAAAGAAAAAAAAAAGAAAATTTAGAAAAAAGACCCCCCCGCCTTAAAAAATTGTGATATAAAATACGCATATAAATTTATATTCATAAAATGTATTTCATATTTATTTGTTTTCTTATTATTTTTTACACTTAGTACATTTATAATGTAAAAAAATATATATTTTAATGTATATTTTGTATATATTCTTTATTTTATATATTGAAACAACAATGAAAACAACACCCAAGAGGCAAGTGAGAAAATCTTGCCATTCAGGGCTTCCGTATTAAAGTGAAGTAGTTAAAAAACTAAATAAAATTAAAAATTATACTCAAGTTTCATTTATGGACTGTTTTGCATGACATTTATTCGCCTCAAACAACCAATATATAGACAGTAACGATGTTACCTGTAGCTGCTAATGACTTAATGACTCAGAACTCAGCAGGAACCGGTTTTATCTCAGGATGTTGTCTTTCTCCTCCCTCTTTCCCTCTTGTTTTTGGATGTTCATTTAGCACGGTTCTGACAGCTTAAGGCAAAGCTAGATTTAAGCTTTTTTTCCTCAAATGCCTTTTGGAAAATTTAAGACCAATTTTGGATTCCACTGCAATTTTAAGCCGTGCTGCAAAATCTTGGTCGCATCCGCTTTCAGCATCCTGGCTGCAGGACAAAATACGTGTGGTGTTGATTCCACAGTCCTGATCTGTGTGATGTTAATGCAAGAGTCATTCAGTAAATAATAATAATAATAATTATAAGAAGAACATACGTCACTAATGATTTGGATATTTTTAACTGCAATGATTTTAACACCAATTAAGACCTTATTTTTGATTAATGAATTCAATGCCTTTTAAGACTATTTAAGGATCCACAGGAACCTTGTTTAAATTCATAAAGACTTGGGATTCACTCAAGTTGAAACACTTTCAAGTCATACACATGCCATCCCGGGGCAAATTCACATCCACTCAAGTCTTTCCAAAAACATTATACGCAATTACCCCCCATCCCTAAAATTGGGTTTTTGTTAAAAGCAGAGTAAACCCTGCAGTGACTGTGTGTAATTGGTCCTCAGCTGACTGTACAGCCAGTGAAATGTACGTGACACGTTTACTAAAGCTATATGCCTTGTATGGAATTATGGAATAAATTAAAAATGAAGCAGCACATCTGCTGTACATCCACAAGTTGCCTTTCTGAACATCCACAGGGCCTGAAATAAGTATGCAATTTGTCTGAAAATAACCTATAGCCTGATTAAATCTGAAATAACGTGGATGGAGTCGTTTTTTGTGTCGGATCTCGTTTTTATTTTCATTCGGCCTTCAATTTGAATCTAAATTAAAGACATACACACACACAGAAAGAGATATATGAGCCACTCTTGAGGCCAAAAAAGGGTGAATGATGTGTAAAACTAGAGTGATCAGTGTGTGAGCAGGAAAAGGAAAAAAAAAAAAGCAGCTGAGGAGATTACCCCCTCCTTGCGGATGAAGGGCCAGGAAAGGCATGGAGGGGAAGCGGATGGGAGCACGGTGAAATCCTATTTCAGCAGCCTGAGGGAGCCGTGGCACCAGGCTCCTCCAGCGGGGTCCTTTTGTTAAAGCCTGCTCGGCGGGAGGACAGGGTAGATGTGAATTGTAGTAAGTGCAGAGGCAGACATGAGCAAAGAGTGAGGACAACTTGCAGCCTCTTTACTGGATTACACTGAGGAGAGGAGTAGTGTCTTTGGCAACACAAAACTGATCCGATGTGTGTGTTCAACAGCTGCCGACTTCGACCAGAAAATTTATTTGGCGTCCCAGAAATGGCTACTGTGGTATGACAATTCTGGCACAGTGCTACCGAAACAAAACCCCTCAAAATGTTTGTTTCAGCAAACTCAAAACCTCAATTTCAAGGACGGAAATTTGATTATTTTAGTTTATTCCGCCTGTGAGACCTGATTTAGTGTTTTGCTGGTTAAGGGAGAATAAAACTGCTAAATTTTTAGTGAAAGATTTAGATTTCTGGAGATATAGGTCCAAACTTGGTCCATATCAGCACCTTTAAGCTCTGAACCAGACTGGTACCCCCAAATTTGAGACCCAAATCCTACCCAAGACCTGGGTTTAATCAGGATTCCTCAAGGGCAACTTGAGTTATACGGAAATATATGATAGGCCACACCCACTTGCACCAATCAATACGGCACCTCAGATTTTGGTTAATACTTGCACATCTTAACTGGTAAAATTCCTTTCACTGGGTTTTGAGGTAAACGTTTTTGGTATTCGTGGCACCCCCTATAGGCCAGGCTCAAAATACTTGGGTAGGCCTATTCCCAAACAGACTTAAATTATCAACCAAGATTCATGATGATCTGACAAATTGTTAATGCGTTATGGCCCATGTCCTGCTACGCCTCACCCCTTGTAAAGGTTATTGGTCAATATCTTGAAAACTATCCAAAAATATATAGGTTTATACATTTTTTTTTGATAAACTTCATCCAATGATGATATACAGGAAATTTAGTAGCAATCAGATCTACAGTTTAGGAGGAGATGTCAAAAATTTCATTTTCATTTTTCAAAAAATTCAAAATCAATCATGGCCGACTTTTATGGTCAATTGGACTGATGGTGTGAGGGGTGTGGCCTTACAAAATTGTATCTTTGGGCCACCATCTGGCTCATTGAGCTAATGATTCTTGGGAACCACTTACCTGAACCAACCCGAGCGTGAAGCTTTGTAAAAAAAAAAAAATGTCTGAAATCCAACACAAACACAACAGGTCCCAACAAAAGTTTCAGGTCTTGGGTTAGGAATGGATCAGATTTGTTGTGCAAAGCTCAGGTTGGCTTGAGACAGCAGAACTCCACTGTGTATCTACTGTATGTCTGCTTTTAGATTAATATATTTACACGTCCAAACCATAGCTTGAATGCTCTTGAACTTGACGGTAAAACTTTTAATTAAATTCAGTTTATTTCTAATCTGGATGGGTCTATGTTTTTTGATCTGCTTATCAATTAATCAATGAAATAAATTAAAATACTGAAAGCATCTTATTGTAAAAGGAAACATTTTGAATGATACAAAGCCACAGCACAGACATTCGCTTCATTTGTAGACTTTATTTTATAGTGCAAGATACTCAATGACAGTGGAGATTTGTGGATATTGAGGACTATGAAAGTCAATGTTATTTATTTTGTGCTGATCACAGCAATAAAAATTACATTTCAAAAGTTCAATTGCAATTGAAGTTTTTAGATACAGGGTCCCTATTTCTTTGGATATTGTACAGGCCGAGGCCTAAGCCTAACCCTAACCCTAACCCTAATCCTCACTATCAACTATGTATGTGGGTTTGGAACTTACTAACCCCAACCATTACCTTGAGGTAATTTTTTTTATGTTTTAAGCAGTACCATTGTACCATTGTAGTAGGTTGGCGGCACAAGGCTGATATCTCATGTCAGATAACCATGGACTGCAATTGGCAAGAAAAACAAAGAAAGCATCAATATTCACCCACGACATGGTAAGGCATGCAGGAAAACAGTCAATTACCACTGTTTCCTGAGACGGAGTTGCACAGTATGGTTTTTGTTTTGGTTTCTGGCTCAGTCGTATGCCGGCAGGCCAAAGAGCTGCGGCCCAAACTCCTCCATGCTCCTGAGTCGCAGCGTGGCCTCCTGGGTAAGGCTGGGGTCTAGGTTGTCGTCGGGAATCATCACCACCTGCATCCCTGCGGCCAGTGCTGCCTTGACGCCGTTGGGAGCATCTTCAAACACCAAGCACTGAGCAAGGACAAGAGAGAGGGAAACAAAAGTGATATTATCCTATAAGCCTATTAGGTCTACAGGATTTCACCCCTGCAGACGCCGAAGAGCTGATACCAAAAACAAACACAGGGAAAATGGGAAACAGGAGCACCATTTCCATTTTCAGTACTGTTTGCCTCTGCCAGGTGAAATATCCATTTAATCTACAATCTGAAGAATGCTGACCCCTGTAGCCCCACTTCAGTCCTTTTGTTTATATTTTGAGTCGCTGCGTAAGACATGTTCTTTCACTCCCAAACTGATTGGAGATGTTGTGCATATCAAGAGGCTGGAAATAGAGGCCACACTTATAATATTGAAGATCACAGAGATACATATTTTAATAGTGTTCAGGTTTGTTGAGACTGTCAGAGGGATGATGACTCAAATCCTTGATTTATTGTGAGGCCATCGGGATGCGGCCTGATGAAAATCACCAGGCTACTACAAAACAATTACAATTTACTTTCCCTTTTTCCTGGGGTATTTATGTCGGCCTGTGGAAAGATATGACTTTTATTTTGGTTTTATTTATCAAGTCATCATCAAAACAGGTTTTAGGCAGTTATTTCCTTTTTATAACGAGATGATTGATGTTGTATTTCCAAAAGGTTGTGTTGCTGTTGGGTTCAAAGATAATTCTAGATAACCAAAGAGGATACAAATCCACCACCACCTATAAGCCAGTACTAGCTCTATTCAGGACAAGAAAAGCTTGGTCAAGTAGCTGTGTACTGCTCTGTAATGGAGGCAGGGAGGTAAACCTGATAGGATTAGGACCTTGTGGTCCTTTTCTTTTCACACTCGTGTGTGTGTTTGTGTGTGTGTGTGTCAATCAACTCCACAAACACCTGCAGTATAAAGCCTGGTTCAACTCTTCACTCATTGCAACTCATCATGCTTTGATTATGCTTTGGCCAGTCTTTGCCTTTTTGGATTCCTTTTTTTGTCTTATTGAACTGCTCATTTACCCTGTTATTGATGTGCCTTAGGTCCAACCCTCTGCCACCCTGCCACCCTGCCACCCTGCCACCCTGCCACCCTGCCACGCTCAGCCCCCATCTTGTCTCGTCAGTTTGGATTTTGGTTCACCAGCTCACCTCAGAAGATTCCTGCCTATCTGACACACTTTTTGAGTGTGGCATCCTCTTCGCCTCATTCTGCTGTGTTTGAACGGTTATGGGCTCATTACTGCCCCTAGAGGCTTGAGAGCAATTAACTAATTAACTCGTGATCTTAAGATAACTATTAAAAAAAAGAAAATTGCATATGGCCATTCTTGGCTTCCGTAGCTTATGCTATTCTAACAAAAAACATTAATTTTCATAAAATGTTTGGTTATAAACTAACTTCAAGTTACAGTTGGGGCATTTTTGGTACCCTCTGGATACAACAAAGAAAACAGACGGAAAAAGACACAGCATAACCTAAGCCATACGTTTTCAATAAATACAAATAAATCATTTCCAATTGGTCAATATCTAATAACAGAATAACAAAAAAAAAACTGACTAAGTAGTGTCGACATTCGCTACAAAAAATAGGAGATTTTGTGAATTTCACCACAGGGAAATAACAGTAGTTCTATTTAAACAAACTGCTACTGCAGAGAATCCTCTCAATAAAGTCTTTGGAAATGGATGTCATTGTGATGAGCCAAGTGAAAATATGAAAAACATGAGGCTAATTGGCATTTCAAATACTTATCTATGCACATGTTCAACAAGGATATTCCAACAGCTGCAGTAAATTAATATGACTGAACCTTCACCAGGAGGTTAATCAGTTTTCAGTATCCAATAATCACATTCAGAAGAGTGCAGACAGGAAGAAGGGAAGGCGTGGGGGCTTGGTGCTCTGAGGATTCGGAGGAACGGTTCATACCAACTATTCAACAAGACTCTGAGCTGGACACAAAGGCCGGGATGTTGATATTTACCAAAACAGCCACTCAGGTAACTGTGTAGGTTTAAAAAAAAAAAGCCACATATAGTACAGATTAGATGCAGTAAAATGACTATGCTTCATAGTGAAGCTTCATATCAGCAGGGAGACACATTAAAATGCAAATAAATGTATTTATTTGCATTTTAATTCTGTCTGGCAATGACCACCAGGTGAGTGATAAAGTACAAGTGCTGAAAAGCAAAAGTACAACAGGACAACCATCACATGGAGCATAGGTGAAGTGGGAAGGCAAGGTATGGACACGTGAATTTTAAAACATTAGTTTGAAAATAAATGTTGTTCTTTCAGACAGAAAAATAATAAATTGTATGAAATTCATATGTTGTATGAATTTTGCCTGATGAAGGTCTGACCAAAGTTAGTGCCTGAACAGGTCGGATGCACCCGTTACTCTGACTTTAGGGTGGGCAAAAATGTTTCTGAAATCACAACCAGGAGGTAAATTTAAAAAATTGAATGAAGTGATTACATTACATTCAAGGTTGCATTCACCGGGAACGACCAATGGAGTTGGAGTTAAACATCATCATATCAGTTGCACTGCAAGCTAGCTTCTGAGGTAGCTACTGTGCTGAAGCAAGGAGTTCAGTGGTGTTAGCATGCCAGTTTAGCTTCCACAGCTTTACACAGGACTTTCATGCAGGGAGCAGGGTACAAACAAAAAAGGTGAAAGAGCTGAACGCAACATTGAACCGACCAGATGGCTGTGTTTGTTCGGATGGGGTTTGATGACTTTTCCATGAAGAAGAGTTTTTGACTTTTGATATCTAAAACCTTTTGAAGAACTACTTTTGGGGGGAAAAAAACATGCCCATTGAAAAGCTGGTGTCTATAACAACTGCTGATCCCAAATGGTTCTCAATATATGCCACACAGGATTTATTACAAATTGCAAGGCAGACCTGGACTTTCCTAAAATTCTGGACTATCACAGCATCATTCATCACAAGCTATATGCGCAAAGGTTAAGGGATTTCCTCAAGAAGATCACACCAGTTGTTAAGATTATCAGCTCAATTTGAACAAAGGCCAAACGACACAGAAGCTTCAAACTGTTTCATGAATTGCCTGCTGACTATGGTGATCTCCTTCTCTACACATACTGTATGTCAGAAGGCTGAGCAGGGATAAGATACTCCAGCTCTATTTTTCCTTGCTGTAGGAAATCAAGTCTTTGAAGGGGTCAAGGGAGGAGGACACTGCCCTATTGTCAGACAATAGGTGGCTGCTTGATCATGCCTTCTTGACAGATGTGACCGAGAAACCTGAACCTGCAGTAAGAAGGCAAAGACAAAACCACATGTGATATGATCAGTACTGTGAAGGCTTTTAAAGCAAAACTGAAGCAAGTGAAAAATAAAAGACTGCAGCACTTCCACTCAGTTGTAAAGGTGTTGGAAAGCCATGCAAGGGGCAGCTGATGCTTTGGATGTACATAGGTATTGGGACCTCCTGTCCAAGCTTGGGCAGGAGTTTGACGACAGGTTCAATTATGATGTCAAACTTAAGCCCTGTGTAGCATTCATTGCCAACCCCTTGATGAAGGTAGACAAAGGTGAGATTTCAGAGCAGATGACTGAACTGTTCAACGTCAATCCAGTGGAGATGGAGGTCATAAATCTAAAATCTCAACAATATTCCCAACGTTTCTGGAGTCTGGCATACACATAAAAAACTAAGAATATTCACCAAGCAGCCCAGAAAGTATCTGCTTTGTTTGGCTCGACAAACTTTTTCTGATATGAATTTCATCAAATCTAAATTCAGACTGTCATTCAAATGACATGAAAAAAGTAAAAAATATATAAAATTTCTGTGATTTTGATGTGAATATAAGATGTGACACACTGACATTTGAAACTTTGCTACAGAACACGTAGCTGAATATGAAACATGGATACACTGATGCGGATTTAAGATGTTTTTGATCCAAAATGGATATTGACATTTGATACACATGTACAGTATAAAAGAAGTATCTTAAGTCAGCTGGCTAAGTTGAGCATTTTGATGCGTAATGTAAATAAATGTAAGTAATATAAGACATGAGTAGCTCTCAGCCACTTTAATTTCTTCAAAGTAGCTCTTAGATGAAAAAAGGTTGCAGACCCCTGAAGTAGAAGTTAAATGATGTCAATAGAAGTTTAGTAATGTAAGTGAGAGCCATAGAAGAACTCTACTGATATCATTGTGAGCTACATTAGGACACTGATGATGTCATTGTGAGTTTTGGAAGAAATCTAAAAATACTGGATGCACAGTAAGTGTAGGTATGTCAATGTAGGTTACAGTGAAACACTGGTGATGTTACTTATCAACAACTAAAAAAGAAATGCGGCGATTCCATCATGACCTATAGTATAACTTTATCAAGATCATCAAGCTCTATGTAGAAGTATAGTGATGTCATTGTGAGATACAGTACAACACCTTAGTGATATAAGTGAGAGCTACAGAAGCATTCTGCTGATATAACTGTGAGCTATATTACATTTATATTCTCATATTCTACAGTAGGACACTGTTGATGTCATTGAGAGCTAAAGTAGAACTCTAGTAATGCCAATGACAATAGAATCTTCAGAACATTCAGTAGAATTACAATGATGTCATTGATTTATTGGACAACTGTACTAATTCTGTTGTGAGGAAGGCTACAGTAAGGCTACAGTACAACACTTGTGAAGTCATAACTCTGTGACTCTGTCAGTACTTGCTACAGTAGAACACTGATGAGGCCATTGTGTGCAACAGTAGAATGCCTGATGTCATTGCAAACTACATTGGTACTGTAGTGATGTCATTGAGAGCCACAGGAGAACACTTGCAATTTCATAGCTTTCATAATATCATTGTGGTCATTGTGATGTATAGATATTTTTTTTCCAAAGTAATTTAAAAATGTAGTTTACAAATGTGGTATCTACATGTATACGTCTATGGGTGCATACAAGTATTCTTTGTCTTTTCATGCTGATTTTGATTTATTGATGTTTAGACACGCTGTT